CCACAAATACAAATCTTCCTTCTGCATCAGCATCTATTAACTTTGGCATCAATTCCTTCTTAACATAAAGAACTACACCCGCTTTTTTCTTTTGAGCAGAGGCCGCAAAATATAAACCCAATTTAGGATTAAATAGATACTTTTGGTCTTTTAATATAATATGTGTCTCTTGTAAACATATAATATCATTCTTATGCTGTTTCAAATAGTAAAATATTTTTCTCCTTTTTTGTGGTGAGTTCAGTCCATTAACATTTAAAGTTATTAATTTAGCCATCCTTTGGCTTTTGGAGCTTCTGAATCATCCCTTGCAGATCCATCATGACAGATCTTTTAGGTCTGGCCCCTCCCACTGGCTCCGAAGTAATTGAACATGTTTGGGGCATAGCCTCTTTCTGCTGCTCTCTTTCCTTACGCTTGTGGGCCGCACGTGTCATTCTCTGATCTTTTGGGTCCTGTTTTGCCTCCAACATTTGTAAATTCTGAAAATCTCCTGCAGATGGCGACATAGCTCCAGGCAGATCCATATTCAGTTGTTCCACTCCTTCTGTTCCTTTAACTGGTGATGTAGAAGATGAATCAGCTTTCAGAACCGTTAGATAAAAGTGCTTTGCCTTCTGTACTGTATTGAATCTGTAACGGTTCCCAGCATATGTAAAGGCCATTCCAACTGGTATTTCCCATCTAAAAGGTATTTGCTGCTTCTTCAATTCTTGAGCCAAGAAAGCAAACTCCTTTCTTTTTCTTAAAATCTTTGAAGGTATTTCTTTCAAAAGTATAATATCCTGAGCAGCAATCTGAAATCTCTGTTGGTAAAAGGCCTGTATAATTTCATTTTGACGTGTTTTTCTAGAAAAATAAACAACAACATCCCTAGGCTGTTTTCTCTGACGTGCGACCCATGAATTGACTCTAAATATTTTTTCAATCTCTCCATAGATAATTTCAGGGTCGCAGTCTAAAACCAACGCTAAGGCAGCTGATACCTCTTCTCTCAGTTTCTCCTGTGCATCCTCTCGCAGGCCTCTGATTCTTATTGCATATTCCATCTCTCTGAATTGTGTCATTACAATGTCATTTTGAATAATCTCTATACTCTCTTCCACTTTTTCCATTCTCTCCTCCATCCCTTCCATTTTTTCCCCCACTTCCTCCACACGAGTCTCTATACGCTCCATATGAAAAGCAAAGCCCTCAAAGATTTGAGACATACTCTCACACAATTCATCATTCTTTTTAGCAAGCTCTTCTGTCTCCACTCTCATTTGTTGCACAATTTGTTTAGACATCTGCATCTGCATCAAAGAATCCTGCAAATCCTTTAAAGTAATATAAGGTGGTGAGGAGGGTGGAGGAGTTTTTGCTCTCTGATGCGTAGTCTGTATAGCTGGAGAAGAAGCAGCTGGCTTAGGTGCTGCAGCAGCTGCACCTCGTTTAGAAGCCATTCTTAAGTTTAAAAAAAGTCTTAATATACAGTCCAAAGTAGCTAAAGATCAAACAAATTTTCCTTTAATTTTTCCTTAATTTTTGAAAATTCTTTACAGTCTTAACAATGTAGCAATCCACAACCGGAAGGAAAGTGAAAGTGTCTCTTTAGAACAAAGAAGCGGCTAAACTGCAGCCATTTTTCCCCCCCCAAAAGTTAACTTTCGATTTCAGTCATTTGAGAAGACTTTAATCTTCTGAGTCAAAGTTTTAATTTCATCATGAAAAGTCCAAGTTTCCTAGTCAGCTCCGTCTGTTAATATTACTCACAGTTAAGTTCGAAAAAAAGATCAGAGGTGGAGACGGCGTCTGGCTTCGCTAAATAGCGAAGACGTCCCGATCTGCGGAGAAACTCTGAGCTCCGGAGGAGTTCACACCTTCGCCTCGCTGGGAACCCCCAGGGAGACTAGGGAACTCGACTCCTACTCTAGAGTAAGCTCTCCTTCTCTCCTTTGCCCGGAGAGAAGTTTCAAATCGCCAAACAGCTGATGCGCGCTGTTTTGGCGATTTTTACACAGTCCCAGACGGGAGGCTGTCAAAAAGCCTCCTTCGGCAGCCGCCAAACCACCGGAAGTCGACAAAAACAAGTTTTGACTTTCCACAAGACATTGCAAAAAAAGGAGATAAAACAGTAGATTCATGAAAAGCAGAGGGGATGACAAAGAAAACTTACATTGGATCCAGTAGCCTAACCTCCCTTTTCATCTCATATAATCATAACTCATATCAAGTTTAACGTCTGGTGGCTAGACTGTTAACTGATGAATAATGCAGTTCTCTGGCACTGTCCTCCACTGCAGGTAGACAGGATCTATTAGATTGGTCCACCCTAGGCAACTGATTTACACCTTTGGGCTCCAGAGTAAGCTTGGGATTATCTCTGAGGATATGCTGCTGAATCCAACTGAGGACCCGGGGTCTACCTGGAATGAGAGGGTTGCAGAATATCTTGATTGGATCACACCTGTGGCCTCACCTAACTCAAGGATCTTGGAAGTCTTCCTGATTTATAGAATAATTGAGGGAGATGAAGCAGGTGAAGAGAAGCCTGAAATGCTGGAGATGATGCAGTGCGAATCTTACTGAACATTTATTAAGGACTATGTTGTGGTGATAAAGCAGAAATTATTCAACCCAATGGATGTCAAAAAATGTCCTTTTTCCTTGTGACCAAAAGGCTTCTGATTCTTTAACTCCACTGACAACTACCCCTTTCTACTGATCCATATGAAAATAAAGGGATAATTGTCACTGGACCTAAAGAGTCAGACCTAAGTTTCCCAGTGATTCTTTAGAAATGCATGGTGTATGGGAAGAAGCAAGAACTGAAAGTGTTAATGCAGAAGGGAAATATGATTTAATAGTCACTAAAATTTGGTGGGTTGAAATGCAAGACTAACATGCAAGGATTGAAGGGTATAACAAATAGGCCAGACATAGGGGAGCAATGGTGATGTATGTGAAATACATACACACATGTTTAAAGATCCAGGAATCTTAACACAATGGTTCAATGAAGAGCATTTGTATAAGAAAGAGAAATACAAATTCTATTACTAGGGATGACGTAGGCGAATTACAGAATGCTAAATCAAGATGATTTGTTAATAGATACCATTCCCTCCTAAATTAGATTATAGAACTTTCTTGGAGAGACAGCATTAATGAGAGATTTCATTAATATCTGTTAACATATCTGTTGAATCTCAAAAATTAGTCTTTCTAGTGTTTCATTTTTCCAGAAGATTGAAGAAACAAGACCATAAGTTTTAGGCACAAAGCCAACAGGACCAGTGTCTTTCTCTCATCCTAGGCAGCAGGCTATGGCAAACAACCTCCAAAAACCCTTGCCAATAAAACTTCAGGCCAGGAGTCAAAAACTGACTTGAAGACATTAAAAAAAACAAACCCTTACATACAATGCATAGACTACAGTTTTGAGTTCCAATTCCACTGAATATAAAAACGCTTACCTTCACGTTTGGAAATAAATCACTCTTTGAAAAATTTTTAGCTTCATTTCCACTCAATAAAGAATTGCGAATGTGTACCACAATGTCATTGTCACTGTATCTTGGAAAAGTACAATTATCCATCCTGCAAAAAATTAAAATATTATGTAAATGTAAAAAATTGCATAAGCAAATAAATCCTTTTGTGTAGCAGCACTTGGCCAATCTTGTCTGAAAAACAAAAAGGACAGGTACAAAAAAATGGAAAGAGGGACACATGACTAAGGCAGAGTGTCAGCAGATAGCCCAAGTCTGCAAAGATGAAATCAGAAAAGCAAAGGCTCAGAATGAAAGAGGCTTGCAACAAAGTCAAAGATAATAAAAAAAATGAGTTAAGCAGTTCTGCTTTCTTTCTGCTGCCTCTTACTTCCTTACCATCTTCTCTCTTAAGTGCTACTGTTTCCTTAACTTTTTTTGTTATTTATATTATTTCAACATATAAATAATAGGCAGCAGAGAGAAAGCAGAACAGCTTAACTCATTCTTTGCATCAATCTTCATGCAGAAACTATAGCCCAGCCTACCAAAAACCTAACTGTAAAAGACAGACTAGAAATAAAAATTAAAATAAACAAGAAAATGGTTAGCGAATACCTATCTGATCTTAATGAATATAAATCGCCAGGACCTGATGGATTATATCCCAGAGTTCTGAAGGAGCTGGCAGATGTTATCTCAGAAGTCAGAACTATTGCACCATATCTTTTAAAAATCCTGGAATACCAGGGAATTACGTGAGGATTGGAAAAGAGTTGATGTGGTTCCCATCATCAAAAAAAGAAAAAAAAGAGACCCAGGAAACTACAGACCGATCAGCCTAATATCAATACCTGGGAAGATACTGGAAAAGATAATAAAAAACAGATCTGCAAACACCTAGAAATAAATAAAGTTATAACTAAAAGCCAGTATGGATTTGTTAAAAACAAATCATGCCAAAACAACTTTATTTCATTCTTCGTCAAAGTGACTATATTAGTAGATCAGCAAAATGCTGTGAAAATAGTATACTTAAGACTTCAGCAAGGCATTCAACAAAGTAGATCACAGCCTGCTTCTTGGTAAGCTAGAAAAATGTGGGATAGACAGCATCACCAACCAGACAGATTTGTAACTGGCTGATAAACTGTACTCAAGAAATCCTTAATGGTGCTGTCTACATGAAGGGCAGTAAGCAGTGGCTTACAAGATTCTGTCTTAGGCCCAGTACTGTTCAATATCTTCATAACTTAGATGAGTTAGATGAGAGAATAGAAGGGGAACTCATCAAATTTGCAAATGACACTGAGCTGGCAGGAATAGCGAACACCCCAGAAGACAAGCTCAGGATCAAAAAAGATCTTGACAAACTTGAACAATGGGCCCTATCCAACATGAAATTTAATCTGTAGAAAAGCAAGATTTTTACACTTAAGCAGAAAAAACCAAAGGTAAAAGTACAGATTAGGCGAAACCTGGCTCAAAAACAAAAACTGAGAGGGACCTTGGAGTCCTAGAGCAGGGCTTTTCAACCGGTGGTACGCGTACCACTTGTGGTACTTTGCCACATGGCAGGTGGTACGTAATTGCTAGCCAAGTATAGCAGGGGAGGGGAATGAGCCAAAGCGAGCCAAGTTTGAGGGAGAGGCAGCTGCAGGACTGTCTGGGCTTGGCAGAAGCCCCAGGAGCCGGCGGAGCTCCAGCTGATTGGCGCTTCCGAAAACAGCTTGGAGCTGTAGGTGAACTGAAGAAAAGGGGGGGGGAGAGGAGAGGCTATAAAAGAATGTTGTTTGGTTGGGGGAAGGGGAAAAAAGACATCAGGAAATGTTTAATTCCTTTAAACAAATGTAATTAGTTTTACCCCCTTTAATTGAGTCTGTCTGTGGCTTTTAGAAAGTTTTCTTTGAAGGTAAACAGCCTTAATTTAAAGCTAAAGCTTTTCGCAATTGCCCGAGCCTTTCAGTCAAGGATTGCAACATTGTGACATGTGACGCCCCTGAGGCAGCTTAAAGAGAAAAAACAACAACAACGGAGTTTGTGTTTCTTTATTTTCTTGCTTTGCACTTGATTTCTGTGTCTTTAAGGGTACAGGGAAGGGATTGGAAAAGCTCAGAAGGGCCAACCAGCTAGCTCAAGAGTCTACAAACTTAGCAACTTTAAGACCTGTGGACTTCAACTCCCAGAATTCCTCAACCAGCCATGAGGGCTGAGGAATTCTGGGAGTTGAAGTCCACAAGTCATAAAAGTGCCAAGTTTGAATTCATCATACATTTGTCAGTGCAAAGGGAAAGTGATTCAGCAAAGGAACAGCCACAGAAGAAATTAAAACTGGTAGTTCTTTTCTTTTTTTCTACAGTTTGTAATATTTTATTAGATTATAGAATAAAATACAAAAATACAAAAGCAAATAGTAGGACACAGTGGGGAGGAAAAAGGGGGGGAAGGGAAAAAGAACATACTTCCTCTGTTGCAGTAGAAGGAAGTATTAACATTGAACCTCAACTTTTTACTTTTCCATAATATTATAAACTAGCCATTTCTATAACAACAAATGAATCTAATCAGTAAAACCCAAAATTCCCTCCCCCTTTTTGACACCTTGCGAAGCACTGGTGGTACTCAAATATTGTCATGTCCTAAAAATGGTACAATCTGTGAAAAGGTTGAAAAGCCCTGTCCTAGAGGACGATCACTTAAATATGAGTCAGCAGTGTGCAGCAGCAGCCAAAAAAGCTAACATAATCCTTGGTTGTATAAACAGAGGCATAGAATCAAAAATCATTTGAAATATTAGTACCGCTTTATAATGCCTTATTAAGGCCACACCTGGAATACTGCAACCAGTTTTGGTCACATTATAAAAAGATGCTGAGAATTTGGAAAAAGTGCAAAGAAAAGCAACTAAGATGATTAAAGGCATGGAGACTAAAACATATGAAGAACTGGTAAGCCCCATCTTCCCGGCAACAGACCCCTTGTGTCTGTGGGTGGCTTTCCCAGGCCCTACCCATGTGGAGCCAGGGTAGTAAAGGGAGTTTTGGGTTTGAGCTCAAGGGCTGCTTGGAAAGAAGGTGAAGGTGAGTACCTCTAAAATTTAACTTTAAAGCCCAGGGGAGTAAGAGAAATGTGGAAAAACCTTCGGTTTTGGTAGCCGGCGGGATGGGTGGAAGAAGTCAGGGCTCCGGCTACTCAGCCCGATTTCGCTTCGCCCAGCGACCCAAAAAGGGTTGCCCCTGGAGGGGTAACGAAGGAGGGACACTCCAGGAGCTCGGATCAGGTGGCGGCCGACGGGAGCGGACTAAAGAAATCCTCTGAATGGACAGAGGAAAGGCTGCCAGGTGAGCCAAGGCAGCCCAAGTCTCCAGCCAGAAGGAAAGCGAGGAGCCGCAGTGATCCGCCAAACAGCTGTCAACAGCGTGCTTAAACTGGGTGAGCCAGTGTTTTCTTTCCTTTTCCTTGTGGATTACAAGTCATTAACCCCCTGATAAGGAAGAGTTAAAGAACAAAGACCCCAGAAAGACTGTGATCTAAAAGTGGCAAGCAACTACAAAAGGGGAGAATTTTTAAAATAACGTTTAAAAATTGAATTCTATCAGAGCCTCCATAGAAAATGGAGTATCAAAATATTTGTTTAGTAGGAGACTTTAATGCAATAATAGATGGGACAATTGACTATAAAAGCAGTAAAATAGGGAAAACTGGAAGAAGATTACCTAAGACATTCTTTAATATGACAGATGAAATTGGAATAAAAGATATTTGGAGGGAAATCAATTCAGAAAAACTACAATATACTTTTTATTCAAATAGTCAAAAATCCTGGTCAAGAATTGATATGATTTGGATGACATCTGAATTGAGGTTGAATATATAGGAAATTGAGATTGAAACAGGCACATGGGCAGACCATAACCCTTTGAAATTGACATGGAGAGGAATTAAAAAAAAACCAAGATGGACTTTAAATCAATTTATACTAAAAGAAAGAGAATTTTTAGAACTAGCGAAAAAGGAAATGGAGTTCTTCTTTAGAGAAAACAAAAAAGATGACACAACATTACAAAATGTATGGAATACAGCTAAAGCATATTTTAGAGGTATAGCTATAACATATATGGCAAAGAAAAATAAACAGAGAAGACAGCAATATGTACTATTAAAAGAAAAATTTGGAAAGTTAGAATCAGAATTACAAAAAAATCTGCAGAAAAAGACTTTGAAAATAGAAATGGAACTAAACAAACTAAACTTGTTGGATTCAGAAAAATTGGCACAGCAAATAAAAAGAGCGAAACAATTTTTTTCCGAAAATGCAAATAAACCAGGAAGGTAGTTAGCTTACAAACTTAAAAAAAAAGAAAGAGAAGAAAATGATACATAACTTAGTAGATGAAAAAGGTTGTTTATAATTTAAAAATGAAGAAATAAAAAAAATAATTAAAGAATATTACAAGAAACTATGACAAAGAAGAAACTCCAAGAGAATGATTCAATATCTACAAGAAAATAATCTTCCAAAAATTCCAGAGACATTTAAGACTATGTTAGAGGGAAAAATTACAATGATGGAAATACCAGAGGCCATAAGAAGGCAAAAAAATGAAAAAACACCAGGTCCACATGGATTACCGGCGGAGTTATATAAAACTTTACAAGACATACTAAGTGAATCATTGAAAGATGTTTGTAATGGACTTTTGTTGGAGGCTAAACTCCCAGCCACATGGATGGAAGCAAACATTTCTTTAATACCAAAAGAAGATTCAGATTTGTCACAGATTAAAAATTACAGACCGATATTGTTGCTCAATGTGGATAATAAAATTTTTACTTCGATAATGGCAGAGAGATCGAAAAAATACTTAATGGATTTTATACATTCAGACCAAAATGGTTTTCTACCAAAGAGACAAATTAAAAACAATTTAAGAGTGATAATGGACATATTAGAATATTATGAATTACATCCAGGGAAACAATTGGCACTAATATTTCTAGATGCCCAAAAGGCATTTGATAATGTTTCCTGGCAATTTATGACTCAGCAACTACAAATGATGGACTTTGGACAGAACTTTATAAATATGATAAAAACAATATATAATA